CTCCTGCCTCAACCTCCTGAGTAGCTGGGATTACAGGCACGCGCCACCATGCCCAGCTAATGTTTTGTATTTTTAGTAGAGACGGGGTTTCACCATGTTGACCAGGATGGCCTTGATCTCTTGACCTCGTGATCCACCCGCCTCGGCCTCCCAAAGTGCTGGGATTACAGGCTTGAGCCACCGCGCCTGGCATATCACTTAATTTCATCTGATAACCTCCTATATTCAAGATTTGTCACTTAAAAGCTGGGAGATTTTCAGCAAGCCACTTAACCTCTCTGGGTGCTAATTTCCCCAGTGACATAAAATGGGCATAATCATAGTTCTATCAATGAGATCATGCATCTACAAGTACTTAGCACTGAGTCTGTCATGTAATGAATAAGAACTGCTATTAATATTACTATTTATAGCTGAGAGAAGACACTCTTAGTTGTCTCCAAATCCATTATCTGTGGCAACTGAGCCTCCATCTTATATAGATCACTCAGAAAAAGACTACATTTCCCAGGCTCTCTTGCACTTAGGTGGGGCCACGTGACTGAATTCTGTCCAGTGAGATGTGGAAGTGTCCTCCCCTTCCCACTTCCCTTCACCCTGCTGCCTGGCATGGATGGACTCCTTTAAGGAGTCCGAGTCCCAGGATGATCTCTCTAGTGTTACTGAATGAGAAATAAACTACCTGTTTAACCTGCTGTTAGTTTGTATCTTTGATACACATGGCTAACCATGTCTTAACCAACACACTGTGAGTTAATTCTATTATTATCTCTATTTTAGGGACAAAGAAATCAAGACTCAGAGAGAAATGTGACTGGCCCATGGTAAGTGACAGGATCTGGATTACAGCCCATATCTGTTTGACACTAAACCTCACAGGGCAGCACTGCCCCCCTTCCTGCCCTCCTCCTGTCCACCCCTCCAAGCCTGTACCTGAGCTTGCCAGGCTATCCATTGCTGTGCTGATTTTCAGGTCCAATCCAGCATCCTTGAACACAGCAAATCTGTCTTTCCCACTTCCTGCTGTGCAGCCAATGTCAGGTTCTTCCACCACATCCCAGACCTAGAGGACAAGAGAGGAACCTGGATGTGAGACCTATATGACTCCTCCATGAAAGGAGCAGTGGTGTACTGGAATTGCAGGCTCAAATAATAATTCTCATACTATCTCCCATTTTTTGAGCTCTTATCACCTTTCAGTCATTAGACTCTGCACCGTCTTCTTGAATCCTTACACTGATGCTGTCCTCTTTATGGCTGAAGAAGCTGAGGCTCCAGCTAGAATATCCTGGCAATATCTTGGCCCAAAGACCACATGCTCTTACCTTCTTCTGAGTGAGCTTGTGTTTGTTGTTCAAGGCATAGACAGCCTTGTGCACAGCCACCAGCCCCACTGTGGCTTCTGCATCACCTGTCACCTTCAGTTCCACTAGGCTGTTGGGCTCCAAAGGCTGGAATGATCCATCACTCTTCAAGCCAACTTTTAGCTGAACCAAGAAAAAGATGTCAGGAAAAGGTAATCATAGACCATACAAGTCCACTTTCAAGTTTATGTCCCCTGCTGCTCTGATGGAGCATCTCGGAACTCCACTAGGCTAATCCCAACTCTATACTATATTTATTTACTAGCATCATCACCATACTTTGTGTTGAGCTCTTTAGGCCAGATATTCTCCCTCTCTCCCCCGGCTTCCAGTTTGGGAATGCCTAAACTTGTACAGACCTTTTCTGGGGCTTTATGATACTGATGCACAAACTATAAGGAGTTTGTCTTACCGTCCCCATGCATCTGTCATTCACATCAATCCACATGGAATCAGCCACCAGCTCAGGGTTCTGGCTTAGTCCTCTGGGAAGTAAATAAAACGCCAGAATCTCTGAAGTCACATCAATAACGGCTGACGTGTAGACACTCCCCTGGGCTTTTAGTGGATGTTTAGCACTCATGATCTGGCCCTTACTCAGGACCTTGGAGACAAGGTTAGACCAAGGATGAGAAGGGTAGGGCAGTTGCAGTCTTTCCCTGAAGCTGTCCCAGCCCACAGGGGAGGCCCATAGTCTCTTTGCTTCAGCCTCCTGATCTGAGCCCACTCAAGGTTTTCCCATCTTCACATATTTTTTCATAGTTTCTCCAACCCAGCAAGTCAAGGTTTTTCCAAGGAAAGAATTCCTTGACTCAGATCCTGGTCCTAGTCCCTCACCAGGATGGTGAAGTGAGTAATCCCGTTCTTGGTCTCAGGGTTCTGATGCCTTGTGTTGAGGCTCACCTGGATGCTGCTGCCAACCTCTGTGTCCAGTGTGTTTACTTCTATGTGTAGGAAGTTCCCTGACGAATCCTGAGTCAAGTAAGGCCAAGCTGTCATCCTGGCTGAAGCCTGCTCATCTGGCCGAAGAGATTCTTCAGTTTTCACCTGGGGAAGGTGATGTGCAAGTA